TTTCTTTGTAAAGTGGGAAGAAAAGGCTTCAAAAACTTACTTTCAATATCATCCTGAGAAAATAAAACTGTCAGTGGTTGAAGTTGGTCTAAATTAAATCCGCCCACCAGCGGCCGAGCGGTAAAGTCGCTGAACACTGGTAGTTCGGTCCGAGGTTCGAATCCCGCGAACGGGCTGGCTGCATGGGTGTTTTCGTTGTTTTCCCCATGTGTAACGTGTATACGAGCCAGTTTCCCTTAGAAAGTCCTCCACGAAGGCATCCCTCCCCTTAGGCAGATAGCCCTAGTGTGCTTTGCCATAATTAAATACACACACACACACACACTAAATTAAATCCAGTAAGTAAGTAATTAATTAGTCCAAATTTTCCATGTATTGCATGATAAATTAGCAGAAACTGGCATAATAATTTTTTCAACTGGTAAACAGTTTTAAAGGGGCATGCTAATTTACTCAGTAAGGAACCTTATATTGCCCAAATATGCAACGTTTCGTTTTACATCTACGTTTTCCATTTAGACAATGAACTTTGAACGCTTAATGTTTTCTAAATAAAATTTTTAATGTAAGGAGTGTATATATATTCCCAAACAATGCTGAAGTCGTTTTCATAACAATCGGCACTATTAATCACCAAAATTCTCTATATTTACACCACGCACTTTGTACTCGAAATAAGGAAATACTTTTAAATACAACATAATTAAAGTCTAATTTATTAGAATTTTTCTTTTGTGAGATTCCCACTGAATATTGTGCTTTTTCATACTCCTTTTGTATAAAGTTAAGATTGCTTTCGTAACATTGGGTTCTTGTTAGGAGCTTCGTAATCCAGATGTATGTCTGAGATAAATATTTAAGAAAGAAAGCATATTACACCAATCACCTTTTCCCAGCACATTACGTGTACAATGTACATACATTTAAATTTTCAAAAATTGCTTTAATATCTATTTTATTAATTATTTAATATTTATATATGTTATATCAGTTATTTATATCTGTTTGATTTTAACTGAGATATTAGGTATTTTTACATTACGACATATTTCTTTACATATGATTAGTTTGTGCATCTTACATACCAATGTACGTCTGTTTATTGTGCATTTTTGTTTAATCGAATTGCGCCACTTAATGCATTTGTATTGTGTATTTCTTGAATTGTGTTACAAATGCTTTAATTCTGAATCTTACTTTGTGTTGTAAGGATAGCTGAAGTAGAATACGAGATATATGCAAAAGCCCTCCGACAGTCTTGGGCACAGTTGTTATCTCTAAATTTCTGATTTCTCAGTTATATTCTCAAATGGAGGCAGAAAGTTTTCTCAACCGTTGCTGTGGCTTTCACTGAACGATCTGTATTTCAGTTCTTTTTATAGTCGTTAAACAAATTTTTTTATAAAGACTGAAAAGGGTTCTGGTTTGAAAATTGTTAAATTGCATGAGCTATTTTGGTAAGTTATCAAAGTGAATGATGCATTAAATCTGAATGAAATGATTGATCCTGAAGTGAATGATTTTGGTTTTGCAATGGAATTTGTACAATAAAAATTTCTGTAAAAAGGCCTTTATACATTATGAAACCTTATGAAAAACAAGCATTTTGAGTAGTATTAAATGTTTAAGATAGTCAAAAATCGTGTAAAAGATTAATCATACTATGGTAGATATTCACTTCAAATGAATCAGTACATCAAATTCAGCATACAGATTCGTAGCATATCAGATGGCAAATAATGATTTAGACTCGTGCCGCTTCTCTGGTGTAAAACGCATCTAGTCACTGGTCGTCATGGCGATTTTTTATTTCAATTAGTAGTGCAAGTTCAACATAATATAAGATGCCTCCCACTATACTATACGAAAGAAGTAATGAGCCATAATCTGTGCAGAAGTCTGTGTAGAAATTTATACGTGATGCAATTCAGGGTATTGCGCATAGTCAAAAGTGGAAAGTTTTTTTGTTTGGAAAGATGGATAGAGAAGTAAAAATTTATATGCAACTAGTGGCTACACGTTGTAAATCAGCTCTTGCAGAAAGCTATTAGTTTCACTGGATTAGGAACTCCTAAAAGTGTAGTGAGACTAAACAGTCGTTATAGATTAATAATTAGGCATAATGAAGCTGTAAAGCATCAGATGTCCATATTTATGTTAACAAATCGAAACATTGCATTCAATTTGGCAGAAGAGCTCTACATACCATAACGCATGAAGATTTGAAAATGCAAAAGTTGTGCACAGTGGTTGCCTTAAGTCCCAATTACATTATGTTCTGGCTGCGATAGACCTGACGTCGAAAGGAACAATTCTTAGAACCTACACATTTCCAGAAAACCCACGTAGCTAGGTTACCATTTCACTTACTAGAAAGATTTAAACGCCAAACAGTAATCGATTATCGCTCAGATTGGGATCACGTGATAATTCGGAAGCAGAACTTTCGTCTGATTTTTTCATCTCTACGCAGGAGAGAGCTCCAGCCGAAAGATTTTCGGCGAGTTTTCAAAACATCCCGCGTACCCGGTGTATCGTTTCCGTAGCTAGGCGGGACTTCGCTGGAAGCGAAACTCTTTTTTTATAGGAATCCTCCCGTTTAAACCAGTGCTACCAGAATCTCGTTCCTCGGAAAAGTCCCGCCTAGCAGGGACAGTCGCTAGATGGGATAACCTCTTTAGAGTCGTCTTACTGTCTTACTGATCTGCACAACAGTATATGTGCCAGGAATTGCAACGGACTCTTTTCAATTAAGATCAAAGGATAAAAGATATTGTTTTCTATTTTCTTCGATTGCGGGGCGTGTTGTGCATTATGAATTTTTAGCAACTGGTTAATCTGCTAATAAAGAATATTTTTCGAGCTTTTTGAGCAGTTTAAGCTAATGGGAAATGACTTGGACAGTGACGAGACAACTCGCAGATTTTGCGAAATGATGCTGCCCTACTCAACAATATTTTTTGTTTAGCATTGAGACTGGAGAGAATTATTTTAAAGAGAATGTAATAAATACTTACAAAAAATTTGAAACCTTCCGATTAATGGAATCATTCTCATTAATTTTTTTTATCCCAGTGGTATTGTGGGAAGAAGGAACTTAGAATTGACTTAGAATTAAATAACTTAAATAACTTATAACTGAGAATGCGTAAAATGAGAGAAAAATAATGAAGAAAAATACAAAAAGTTGATTAATACTGATGTTTAAGACTCTAAAGATGCACTTATGCTCTTTATTCTGCGAATGAAAGAAACTGAAAAGATTCAGATTTTCTTTTTTTTTTGCAGACTCGAATTTTCTTTGCATATTTACACAGCTATTTTTATTTATTTAAATTCTTTTCCGTTTTGCAGCCACATCCCCAAAATAGCGATAATTGTTTTCTCTGATGAATAAAATCTCGCTTTAAATGCTTTTTCATGTATTCGCGCAGAACTTAAAACCGGAAATGGTCTGTTAATTGTATGTGAAAGATGCTCTTTTATGTCAGCTATTTGCTTCGCTACACAAGAATCGTTATAAAAGGATGTAATAATGTGCATATTTTCAGTACGGTTTCTAGAATAGGATAGAGACGCATGATGAAATCAAGAAAGGTTTTTCAAGTGAGATCTCAGTTTAGAGTATCTCTTGGTAGATAATAATAACCCACATCCTCAAGAATATGAAGTAGATCAATACCTCAAAATTGAAAGCATTTTGACAATATTGTCTAGCATACTCTCCAGACTTTCATCCTGTCGAATATGTCTGTGATACTATTATCTTAAATTCCAGCATGTCTAGGATGTCTTAAATGCCTGGTTCCTGTCCAAAAGTTTCAGGATTTGAGACATGACAATATGGAAAAATGAATGCTAGTTATCCAAGGTTTCATTTCCAACCTATTGAATTCTATGAGCAATCATGCGATGCTTGCATGCCATTTTGTGATGATTAGACATCTTATTGATTTCTCTATGCACAACAGATAAGATACTACTACGCGTCTGTTTTTCAAGTATATTTGTTTTCATGTATATTTTTTATACATGTTTTATAGAGCAAATTCAAGGACCATTTTTAGTGAAAGAAACCTTTATTAAAATTCAAGTAAAGCTTCTTGTACCTGAAAAGTAATGTTGAATTTTCTAAGATTTATTTTAACCTTGTACAGTGTATCTGTATTCAGACTTTATACATGCTAAGAATAAAGCATCTGCTAAATTATAAACTAATCAGTTAAAGCGCAGTGGTTTAATCAGAGCGGATTTAAGATAATGTTACTATATATGTTCCTAAGACAATTCGTTTAGGAGAGATAACTATAATGTCCTAGATCTTCTAATTATTAAATGCATCGTTACATATAAATTATTCATAAGCCTTTCATAATGAAGTTATTAATAAACAGTTATAGCATTCCCTTAATGCAAATTGTATTAATGTATCATAATATGTGAATAATATTACAATAAATATGGATTGAAGATAAGCGAAAGTTAAACAGGTTATCTATAACTTATCTTCTGTTGTATCTTTTATTAAAATTTTTAAAGTATATGTATGATTTATTAAAATGAGAGAAAAGAAGATTCTTTTTCTCGTAATTCATATTTTTGAGATAGTTAAAAATATTTTCTTTCATATAAATAAACATTTGGTATTTTTTCAGTTCAAATAAATTTTGTACATATTAATCAGGAGCATTTGGGCATGAAAAGCCCAAGTTAATTTACAATTAAAGGAAAAATGTATATTAGCGTTTAAAAATTTTCGACTCCTGATATCGAAAGTCATTAATTTTTGTCTGCATCTATATCAGACTGAATGATACTAAGATATATCAAGAAAAGTAATCCTACTCAAACAATATATATATATTATCATTTCTGACTTTCAAAATTATGTATTCCATATCGTAAGAAAGAAAAGAGATTTTTTTCATTTTATTTCATTTTTCAAAGTTATAAATTTCATGCACAAATCATATATGAATCTAAAACATCAACACACTTACTATATTCTCTATACTATATGGGTGCGATAACCTGGAGGTTGCATTGTCTATAGATTCACGTGATAACCATTGGTCCGTATACAAGACGAGACGTATGAACACTTGAGCAAACATGGCGAAGAATAAATTTTTATGGACTTTTGTGCGTTTGTTTTTCAGAGAGCTGAAAATAAGTAAAAAAAGGGAAATTGACATTTGAAAGGAATATATGAATCAGTTGGGCTAAAAAATAAAATTTCATTATCTCGGTGATGCAAATGTAGAAGTGAAATCTATACAAGCACACAAAATGTTATGTTACTTGATAAGTTCTCTGGCTCTCACCATAACCCAAATTCGATAATTTCAAATTACCTCTATTATTTCTACCGCTGCCTATATCTACTGATACACCGAAGCATGCAGCGAGCTTTAAATATTTTATTTGATAAAAGTATTATAACAAAACAATAAAATCGAAATTAATAAATATATTTTCTAACTTTACCCCCTTTTACAATATACTTCAAAAATTGTAAATCTTGAAGATAGTTTTTTTTTTATATTTTTATATGTAGGAAAATTTCAGCTTTATAATTCAAGTATTTTGAATGATAATTATAAAGTCATGTTACTGTTTGATTATAAAGTTATGCAAATGCTATTTGATTGAAATCTATTCAAGCTACATCATTCCTGAATGAGAGTAAAATGAATCGAATCTTTCTTTTAATGGTAAAATCATTACAAAACTTATTTTAAATAAATGGCAGTTCCTTTTAATTAACATGTGTGATAAGGTAAAGGAATTCTGACCACGTAGACAAAAAAAAAACATTAAGTTAAATTCCTGGCTGATCAGTATTATACTGTGGAACTCAATTGAAACCAGAAACATCACAGCTTCTGGAAAAAAAACCGTGGCATCATTGATGCTCATTGGATGAACATGCCTTACTCCGTCCTAAGAATTGTTAAGGGTGCATCCCATAAAATCGCAAGCGTTTTCAAGTTCGAAAATCACTCACTCAAATATAATTTATCACTTCGGTGAAATTTATAAAAAGTTAAGTATGGACTTCGATGGCGCATTTGCAGCCATAGGATTAGTGGTAGACTCAAATTCATCAAAAATTCAGATATTACAAGTAATTCCTTAAATATTAATTGCTTTTGACAGCATCCCTGTGTTTTATTGCCATACTAATGATATGAATGTTATCAGAAAATAAAGTGCAAGGCGATATAATATATGATTAGCCCCTTTTAATTTTTTTATATACCGTCATGAAAATCAAGAGCAAATAAATTAGGATGTAGCCTTCGATTCGCTTATACTTAAAGAAACAGATGATGGAATGTTAAATTTATATTATATTCTGCACAGTAATGTTTTATTTAATTGGCATATTGTTGTTAAAAATGTGTCGATTATGAGCCTGGTGGCGTTTTATATATGGAAGAAACCCTTTTACCCAAAATAAGTTTTGGATAAAGTTCAGGTCGAAACTTTTTTCTAATAACACCGTTTTAGAATGTTTTCTTAACTCATAAGCTTGTTAAAAAAATAGAAATAATAGATCTTTAAATGCACCATTTTCGATGATAAATTTTTCAATGTATTTAAAATGTATTAAAAGTTTTTCTTTTGAAACATATCTTTATTTAAATCATGTAAACAAAATAATATGCATGTTTAATTACAAAGAAATACTAAATTTCTAATGCCAGGACATGGAACATCGTGTTAGATAAATCGCACTTATGACACTTTTCTTCCGCCATTCTTGGACGGCATTCAAACCAATGAGCATGTGGATGATGCGTTTGAATAATGGTTATTCGATTTGAAATCGAGTGACTATGAATAAGATTGCCTGAGAATTTTCGTGGTTTCTCTCATGTGTCAAGAACATCGACTTTCTTGAAGACATCCTTCTATGAAAATGTTACTTTAGGATTCCTCAGATTTATGGAACAAAAATGCAAAATAATAATCGAATAGATACATGCAGTGCGTAATTTAAATATATTTATTCATTAATAAGTCTCATTCGTTTATTATTTTATTACTTATAAATAGCAACATACGGTAGAAACTTGATTATCTGAAGTCTAGGACCGTAACCACATTGGATAATCAAAAACTTGGTTGACAGAAACTAAAATTTAAATCCTCCTAATTTTTCCTTCCACAAGACTTTCTAAAACTGTTTATTTGAAATTTTAAAATTAATTGCTCAAATACTACTATTGGCATTTTAGAAAATTCTTTTATTACTAGATAAAATTTGTTTCTTTCAGTTAGACTGTAGAGTTCCCCACTTATAAATGCTACGTTACAGTTGAGCGTGAAGAATCGTAAGAAGTGATAAGCGAATAACATAAATGTATGTATGTTTCTCGCATTATGATAAAACAACGGTACCTAGAGCCATGAAATTTTTAATAACGAATGTCTAGACTCGAATATGGGCATCTGGAAGCCCGAATTTGAAATTTGTTTTATTATCGATTTCATATTTTGTAACACTTTAACGAAGTTTGGATTAACAAACTCAAATCCAAAATTCAATGAGCAGTGGCAACACTGTACGAAAAAAACATTTTAATCCCCAGCGCAAATAATCCCCCAGAAAATATTTACTATTTTCGCTCATCTTAACTTAATACACCAATAAAGGAAGAACGAAATTTAAAGTTTACATTATGCGGTTTATAGAACTACGAAGCCCTGAATATTATCGTTTTATAGGATGATGACTCACATTCCTTGTTCAAGCTCTGAGTTTCATGTGATAATCAATTCGCGATTTTAGATTGAATCATGATCTAGATGAGGTACTGGAAGAAAATAACTTTGTTTAATTTAGTAGTGAAACATAAAGAAATTCAACGTAATATTTAACACAAATAAGTCGAAACGTTTACTGGTAGCTCAGTTTCATTACAGCTTAGTTCAACATCATTTTATTGACACTGATAGATATGTAGGTCAGAATAGTTAATCCTAATAGACTCATTATTTTAAATGATAATCAAATCAAATTTCTAAAAAAACACCAATTTAAATGAATTAATCGTTATCTCACTACAGTTCGAAAGAATAATTTTTCTTCACTCAGTTTCGTTCTTCCGTACTTACTACTCATTATATGGCCCAGAAAGTAGAAAATGATGTATGCAAAAAAACCTTTGTTAAATGACACTGTTATCTATTACAAAGTTCTCGATTATATGGAATTAGAAATAAAATTGTGAGATATTTTTATATGAATTCCATTAGGACATTAATACAATTTTAAGGGAGAAATTATAGTATAGAAGTGACATACATAAGAATGATTATGTGCAGTTCACCTAAATTTTTCTTTGAGAATTTAGTCTTAAAATACGTCTTTTTCGTAGCTGCGGGATTTTAGTTTTAATGGCACGTGATAGGTAAAATTTATTACTTTTTTACTTTTAATATGCAGGATTAAAACTGTGTTATTTAATATTTTTTATATAAAGTAAGTAATTTTATGCAACACAATTTTATGCTTCGTTCTCCATTTTAATCTTAGATTTGCATTTTTGATTTATAAACTGTCAGTTGCAACATCGTTTAATTTTGTTTTTGTATCGAGTTATAAATAATATTCTGAAGAGAAGATGATACGTCTGACAAATGTTTGCGAGTTTTTTCACACAAAATTAATGGATTTATATCGAAGCCTAAAGATGGGTAGACGAATGCGTATATGCAGGAAACAAAAGAATAGAACGAGAGGAAAAAACGGCAAGGAGAATAAATAAATAAATAAATAAAAGAGACACATAATGCTCGCTATATGTCGAGTACAACGTTTGACTGTTAAACTCCTTCAACTTAAATACTTTATTTTTTAAATTCTAAACTAGGTTGGCTTTCAGTTTCTGTTGCTTCAACTATTTGCGCATCATTTGTTAATTATTGGCTCCTAAGAGCTTGTTCGCATTTGAATTTTCCTCGTTACATAGTCTCTCAAGTGAGTGACTATATAATGACAAAACTATATGAAACAGAATACCCTCACTCTATAGTGAGATAATGAGGTAAAAGGTTCGACTAATAGCTATGAAATAATTTAATTTCTTAACTATACAACAATTCGTATTTTATTCAGCTATTTTTACTTCCTTGTACAAAGTAAAGGAAGTATTGTAATCGCAAAAATTTTCGGGTGTCATATTTCAACGAAAATATGCATTTTGACAGCTATCGAATGCAATTCAACTATGGTTTTGCGTGAAAACTGTACGTATGGACAGAATAAAGGACTTCTTCGCCCAAAACGGGTTGCAAAAGGGATCTAAAATGGATTCAGAAGAGATTTGTTTCGTGGCGTCTGTTAGCATTTACCTATGTATGTATCTCGCATAAATCAAAAACGAGTAGTCTCAGAACGTTGAAATTTTTTATATGGAAGCGCTACGAAGGTTGATCCAGAAAAAAATTACAAGAAGAAGCATTTGAAACGTAATAATTGTGGAGCGAATATTTCCACCCAGGGTGGTTGACAGATGGCACTAATTGTCCTATAGCGGTTCTACGAGTTTGTGGAACGAATATTTCCACCCAGGGTGGTTGACAGATGGCGCTAGTTGTCCTACAGCGGTTCTACGAGTAAGTAGCGTCAGTACGCAGACACTTAAGAGCGACAGTAATGACACGACTAAGAGCAACAGTAATGACACGACTAAGAGCGACAGTAAGTGGTCTCGCATAGAGGTGCGAGCCGTAATTCGATTCTTATGGGCCAAAAATGTGGCCGCATCCGGAATTCACAGACAAATCGTTGAGGTATACGGGGACAAAGCAATGAGTAGACAAGAGGTAGCGAAATGGCGTCGTTCTTATCAAGCGGGGAGGGAGCATGTGGAAAACCGCAATATGGAAGCGAGCGGCCGTCCAAGTTCTTCAAGGACGGATATCAACACGGCACGTGTTGAAGAAATCATCAAAGGGGTCGACGAGTAACCGTGCGTGAGATTGCCTCAGAGTTGAACCTGAGTTATGGTAACGTTCAGCGTATCGTAACCGATGAGTTGCGATATTCCAAAGTTTGTGCCCGCTGGGTTCCACGTGGGTTGTCCGCGAAGAATAAGGCCACTCGAATGATGTGCAGCTTCACATTTCTTCAGCGATACCATTCAGACGGC